CATGCTTTCGAACTGCTAGGTTGGCAGAAGCTGGGACAAGTAACGGGAGCTCACTCCGTTACGCGGGCCTAGGGATTTGAACCGCCAAACTGCCAACCTTTCTGATCGTTCTGTTTAAAGGACTCCAATGTTTTTAGTGCAAGGATGAAAAAAAGTATCTCTACAGTCCGTGTAAAAAGAAAGCTATAACTCTGCATAGAAATGTAGATTCACTATCAAACACGCCAGCTGAAAATCACAGCAGTTTGCATATTTTGGAATATGCGCCATCAAATTGTTTTTGACTACTCATGACCATAGAGAAAGATCATCTCTATGACAATCTATTCCTAACCTGTTCTTTCAAGTCTCCCATTCATTGCCGCAGTAATGGAGTTACAATTTTATCCATGTGGTTTTCTTGGTTAAAAGATGCAGGAAGGATTTACCATTGCCTCCATCTTTACAATCTGTGCAATTGTTACTAAAGTGATAATACAGCACGCATCCAGCATCTTTCTATACCACCGATATGTTGACCAAGATAGGGGTCTGCTGGCTTTAGCTGGGCAGCTGCGATGACCTTCCCACCTTGTAATAATATGTGGGGAAGACCTTGTTGAATGGTGCAAAGAGATGTTGCCTAGGGAGAAGTCAGATAAGAGAGGATAGCCTACAAATTGATAGTGCTTGAAGCAAGAGGCTAAGAAGGAACTCTCTCTAGTTTCTCAGGATGTAAAAGTGATAGCAGGAGATTTGTACTTTTAGACCTAAGAGACTGATGTCAGCCTTACCGGATAGATCAGACAGGAAACATGACCAGCTGAGTTCATTCTACTTTATTGAGAGGTTACATTAGCCGTATCTTGCAAGTCTGAAAGTACAAATATTCTGCCATCTCCTTTACAGGCTGAGATGTTAGGGAGGGTCTTTTTTTGAGCTTCTTTCTCAGCCTGTTATGCAGCTGCAGACTCTCTCTCATCTGACCATTCCTTAGGCAGCATTTGTTTACCCTTCAACAAAGTTCTTCCCATATAGTCGTGATGGCGAACCTATAGCCCACGTGCCACAGGTGGCACATGGAACCATTTCTGAGGGTACATGAGGCGTTGTCCTGGCCAGCTGATTTCAGCCTTCATTGTCAGCCATTTTACGCCCTCTGGAGGCTTCCATGAAGCCTCTGGAGGGTGAAAAACAAGTTTGGGAATGGACTTCCAGTTTGCACATTGGGCTGTTTTTCACCCTCCGGAGGCTTCAGGAAGCCTCCTGAAGCCTCAGGAAGGCGAAAAACAGCCCTACGGACAACCCAGAAGTGATAAAATGGTCTATTTCCGGCCCCTGGAGGGCGTGTGGGGGAGCAGGAGAGGCTGTTTTCACCCTCCCCAGGCTCCTAGAAAGCCTCTGGAGCCTGGGGAGGGCGAAAAATGGGTCCACCGTGCCATCACACAGCAAAAGCTGAGAGAGGGCATGGGGGGTCCAAGCACATGCACGGGGGAGGGTCATGCACATGTGCGGGGGGGAGTGTTCATAAAATTATGGGTGTGGGCATGCGCATGCATGACTTCCCCGTGGTGCCCCGCTTTTGGCATGTGATGGCAAAAAGGTTAGCCATCACTGCCATATACTATTACATACCTTGAGTGATTCTGCTAAGAATATATAACCTGGGTTTTTTGCCCATCTGTCCAATGAACACACAGGCACCACACATAAATGTCACAATGAGGCAGCATAGCTCAAGACTTTTGAGCGGAAGAGGACTGCATGTTTAGCCAGAGTCGAGTTGTTTTATCTTTCTGATGCCCTAATAGGATAGGATAGGATAGGATAGGATAGGGTAGGATAGGANGGTTACGGCAATATCCCACACCCACCCACGGGGCAAGAGGCAAATACTACCGCGAGGGAAGGAAACGCCCCGTCGCCCCTCATTCCTACTCACTCGTAATAAGCAGGTCAAACACTTTCCTACCCAACTGCGAGGCGCGCATGCGCAGTTAAATAGCCACAGCGAAGCAGCAACGGCCGGCGGGTTTAGCCCACAGTCGATGGCGACGGCAAGAACGGACCGCCCTTGGTTTAGTCTGAGGATTCTTTTCTTTCCAGCTCTGATTGGTCAGTCGACGATACTGTAGTGAAGCGGTCGCTCCGTATGAGTCGGAGAAGCAGGTGCACGGCGGGTGGGGCTTTGGGACACGCGAAAGACGGAACTATTGGCGGGGGCGGCGCTTATAGAAAGAGGCGGGACAGACAATAAGGAAAAAGCAATGCCAGCCCGCTAGTTGGGATTGCGTAGTGTAATTGTAGCGACGTCAGGAGTAACGAGAGGAAGTAAAAACGGGGACGGAGGGGAATTCTGGCTCAGTCCTCGGGCCGGTCCAGTGTATTACATTTCCCTTCCCCCATGGCCGATTCTTAGCAAATTTCATTATCTTATATGGTTTGGCTTCGTAAGGAATGGAACGCCAAGCTGAGATTGTTAGTGAAATTTTATGTATGATAAAACGGAGCGGATGGCAAATACGGAAAAACCAATAACGTTCCAAAAAACCTAGGGAACGTGAAAATGCGGAGGCGCTTATCCATAGCTAAAGAGGTAATGGGTTTGTTTAATTGGATAAACCTGGATAGTACTAATGAGTTCACACCGTAAATCTTATACCTCTGCTCTGTATTTCAAGAGATTTTATCAAAGTTGCCTTCCTGCTTGAGGAAAGAAACTCCATTTGTTGAGAGAAAAATTAAGCTATAACCGGTGTTAATGTCAAAACAATCATTTGAGTAAAATAATTATGTGAAACCCATATTTTGGCATTGGAATTAGATTGATAGTCAATATTTTCTAGCACAGGTACATGTTCTCTTTAGAAACGTCCCTTTTAATGACTACTTGTCTAAGCTTTCACGAACAGTATAACACCAGTTTCTACATCTTCGAACAATGCAAGAATGCAATCATCTGTAGCAATCCTTCCAGAGAGCTTTCCAAATGAAATATAAATACTTTTTTCATGAATCAATTTCTGCTGCTATTTATCTTTAAAATTAAAGGACGAGAGATCGAAGGGGTTAAGTTTATTAAGTGATTTTGGAATTCTCAGAACCTGGGAAAGAGAAGGATAGGTTGTGGAGAATTACAGGTTCAGAATATCTGCAGGTTCCTCCTTTACCAGGTGGTCATCTCTTAATAGTATCAACAAGGAATCTCTGCTTGAACACACTTTAAATGTGCTACTAAAATAAACTTAGTCAGTTGCAAGATCAGTAGGAAACCCATAGTGAAAACATCATTTTGGCATTCCATGGCAGTGAAAATAACTGAGTTCCATTTGTGCCATTTATACAGATGTACAGGTAATCCTTGATTTATGACCACAATGGAGTCCAAATTTTCTATTGCTGAGACAGTTGCTAAGTGAGTTTCCTCCCCTTTTTATGACTTTTTCTGCCACAGTTAAGTGAATCACTGTAGTTAAGTTAGAAACATGGTTGTTATCTGACTTTCTCATTCACTTTGTCAGAAGTTTGCCAAAGGTGATCATATGACTCCAGGATATTGCAACTGTCATAAATATGAGTCGGTTGCCAGGCATCTGAATTTTGATCACATGACCACAGGGACATCGCAATGATTGCAAGTATGAAAAACAGTCATGTCACTTTTTTCACGGAATTGTAACTTCGAACAGTCGCTAAATGGTTGTAAATCAAGAACTTACCTGTATTATGTCTGGGTCCAAAATTGGAGTAGATCTCCTGCATGTGCCCCCCCATATGCACGTGAGATCCCCCGCACGTGTCCCCTGCACATGTAATTGTGATCCTTGCCACCCTGCCCCCATCCCTGTGCATGCACTTGCGACCCCCCCATGTGTGCCTCGTCTGCCCTGTGCATGCATGCATGCATGACCACTACATGTGCCCCCCATGCATGCATGCACGACCCCCCTGTGTGTCCCAACCCTGCACAGATGTGTACGAACGCCCTCCACTCTCCCCACCCCTGTGCATGCACGTGCACCCTCCACGCATATGCCCCACCCTGCAAAAAGAGCTGGCCGGCAGGCGGTGTGCACGCATGCTGAGCTGGGCAACGGCTCACGTGCCTACAGAGAGGGCTCGGTGTCCCGCCTATGGCCCGTGTGCAATAGGTTCACCATCACGTGTGGGGTCTCCTCCTTGGGCAGGGGTTTCGACTAGATGACATACAAGGTCCCTTCTAACTCTGGCTGATGTTTTATAAGGTCAAGGAGAATGGGTGGCTTGGGCATGAAGATGCTGTCTGTTCAATCGTGTCTGATTCTAGGCACTTCTATGGACCAATTCCTTCCACATATTTCAATCTTGTATAGCTTACTTCACTTGTCTAGTCTGCTTTGATAGTGTCTAGCCACTGTGGTTTTGGTGACTTGTTTATTTTAGTACTATCTATTCCAAACATAACTGTACTTTCCGTGAGTCACATGACATAGCCAAATAAGTAAAGCAGAGTTTTGTGATTTTTGCCTTCAGTGTTATGCCAGGTTTTATACTTTCCTATACTTATTTGTTTGCCACCTTTGTTGTCCAAGGAATATGCATGAGCCTTTTCCAACCCCACAGCTTGCAGAAGTCAATTTTTTTCTTGTTATTTTTTTCATGATCCAAGTTTTGCAACTGTAGGTGGCATGGGAAACACACTAGCATGGACTAATCTGCATTTAGTTGTTGATACATACTCAGTTCATGCTAATCCACATACTAATTTGATCTCTTCACAGGCAATTATTTTTATATTTCCATTCTTCACAGCGGTCATGAACTTGGTCTTTTTGATGTTCAGAAAAAGATTGAATTTCTCAGTTTCTTCTTTAATATTTTGATCAGATGTCTCTTGGATGTGTTCAGCACTAAATATTAAAAAAGAAATACTAGATCCTGTGACTCTGCTTCTCAGGAAAAAGCCCCCTATAGGGAAGGAAACTATGACTTTACAGCTAAAGATAAAACACTGGCCGAGGATCAAATCCACTGAAACATGAACTTTGTGCAAGGTATCAAATTATGGGCTAGGTAACCAGGGAGAAGGTGCCAGCTATGAAACAATTAAGGTAGTGAGGAACTGAAGCGGGGAGTTTCCATACAAATAAATAAATAAAACCAGAAAAGCAACATTATTTTATGGCTGTCAGATGAAGTGGACTGGTGGCATAGTTGCATAAGAAGTTTGCAGACTAGCCACCTGATACTGAGCCAAACAGAAATCCAAATGTACTGGTATATCTCCATCTACTGGTCAAATATAATATGTAACGTAGCTTGTTTGCCATTGCCTTCTCTGGTTCCTCTGCTATCCAGCCAAAATCTCTAATTTTCTAGTCTACCATCCAGTATGTTAAATGTAGAAATAAGTTGATCATCAAGACCAAAGTTAATCATGGCATGAGACAGAAGACATCATTTTTTTCTTTGGCAGAGTTCTGGATAGAGAAAAGTTTCTCCAGTGTCATATATGCTAGTTGGACTTTAGATTCTTGATTCAAAGAGCTAACATATGACTTTTAAATCTTTTCCTTTTGGTGCCCTAGGTCAGTGATGGCTAAGCATTTTTTAAAGGTGTGTCAAAATTGTGCATGTGCGTGCTATCGTGTGTGCACATGTGCCCACCCACCTGCCTATGCACACACAACCCCCCCACCTGTGCATGGACACACAACACGTGTGCCCCCCCGTGCAGGGGAGGGTTCAGGCTCCGGAGGCTTTCCTGAAGCCTGGGGAGGGCAAAAAACGTCCCAACGTTCCAACCAGAAGTTCTGAAATGAACTTCCGGTTGCCTTTGGGGCCTGTTTTTTGTCCTTCCCAGGCTCCGGAGGCTTTCCTGAAGCCTGGGGAGGGCAAAAAACGTCCCAACGTTCCAACCAGAAGTTCTGAAATGAACTTCCGGTTGCCTTTGGGGCCTGTTTTTTGTCCTTCCCAGGCTCCGGAGGCTTTCCTGAAGACTGGGGAGGGCAAAAGTGGCCTCCTCCAGCCCTCCGAAAGGCCAAAAATCAGCTGGCTGGCATGTGCATGCGTGCTGGAACTGAGGGCTGCCATGCCAGCAAATATGGCTCTCCGTGCTACCTGTGGCATACATACCATAGGTTCGCCATTAGGTTTTCCCCACTTTCCATTTTCTATATGGTTGTGCTAAGTCTTCCATGGCCAGGAAAAGTTTAATCCTATGGAGGTAGCTGAACTGAAGAGCGTAACTTTTCTGTGTGTACGTGTGCACATCTGAGACCACTGAGTTGTCCATCATGTTCTATTATCTTGAAAACAGTCCTCTGTACCAGCCTCTGTAGTTGCCAACCTTTCCCAGCCTGTGTACTGAGCTATGATTTGTACCTTTCCTCGTTGATGCTTATTCTGTCTTCAGTCACATATGTCTTTAACTATATATTGCTTACCCTTTGTCTATTCCTATCTCCTATTACAATCAACACCTCACACTTAAGCACATTTAAACTAGCCTTGGCAAAGGAAATGTTAAGTGATGCCATCAGGTTTAAACATATTTAACACTCATTCATTTATGCTAAGCTTAGTATCATCTACAAGAATTAATACAAATTTTCTCCTACATTTTCCAGTCACTCATGGTTAGTATACTAACACTGAGGTTAGCCTTTCGTGATTTGCTCTAAATTTAACAATCTGTTGCAATTACAGTTCACTTCATCAATTCCCCTAAATTCAGGATCCTTTTCTAACAAGTTTTTGCTTTGCCCTTATCCTAAACTTCCACTTCCCACTTTTGTATTATGTTTATATTAAGGCATTTTGATCCCTTTTTTATCACCTTACTGCACCTTTATCAGAATTGTACTTTAACCCATTTTATAAATCTTAGGAAAACTTTGTAACTGTGGGTCACACAGAGATTACATCGAAGTTTGCAGAAAAATCTCTCTTGCTTTTTATTTTGAAACTTAAATTTATCTGTTTGCCTTTCTGGTCTTCTTGGTTTCTTCTCATTGTTAATTGCAAAAATTGGTATATCAGAACTGTAAATCATGTTTTTTTTTCATTTAGTTTCTTTGTCTAGTTATTTTACATTATTTGTGACTTTGTCCAATTCTTTGTGTCACAT